CTGCATTATTGGGTGGCAGTATTGTCTCTAAATTAGAGATTGTGCCCTTACACAGTAGAGCTTGACCATACTTAACATACATAAGTGTACTTTGATTATACTTGTGGCACAGTGGCCAAAATTTACCAGAATTGATATTTTATTATAATGAAGGAATATTGAATATGATGCTGGTATTATTTAAGTTACTAAGTCTATTTATTCCTCCTTTTTTAAGTAAAAAAATGTTATGTGAAAGCTTCAGTTGAGTGTTGAAATGAGTTTCTGTGGGCCGATTTGGTGGCAAATTTTGAACTTTGAGACTTTGAATATAGGAATAAATAATAAACAGCCCAGATTATAGGATGGATGAAATCAAAACAAAAGACATGTTCCACATTTGTGACACTAAAAGAGAAATGTAGCAGGATTGATGAAATACAAGTATAACAGTGGACCTGTAGACTTAATTGTGTATGAAAGGGATAAATGTGTGCCAGACAGAAACTGGCTTTTCTAGATTGCTAGATGATACTCTAGCCTAGCCTAGTGTAATGTCTCAGTGGATGATGATAATGAAGAATAGGATTTTTTTTTAAAGAAAAAATAGCACATTGTTCCTCATATGTTATTTAAAAGTTATTCCATTAGGTGAGACAAATTGATGGGTAATAATGAGATGAGAATACAAAAAACAAAATGGGACCATTCAGACACCCAAGGTGAAGGTGAATCAGAACAGTTACTCAGAAATATTTGCTTAGGAGATTTATTTTTAATGCCTAGTTTAAACAAAACAATGGATATAAACCTTAGAAACGTACTTGGTTAATCTTTTATGGTGTAAGGCAGAATCCGTGAAGTATAAGGGGTGATGGGTAATAAAAACAGATTATAGCGAAAGTACAACTCACAAAGTACAAGGCTTGTCCAAGAAAGTATTAGAAAACACATTAATTTCTTAATTGGAATGTATGAAGAATGGGTGTAAGAAAAGAATGTTTTGGAAGCTGCTTTGAACAGAATTGAAAAGAATTATGTTACAGAATGCCGCAGATGTACCTGCAGTTATGCTAATGAGAAGGATGGGAAAGGATGCTTAGTGCAATGATGAAGTGAAACAAACCGTGGATGATATCTATAAGATAATGATTGCTGCAGAAATTAGGACAAAGGAAACCATTTTGGTTGCCGCAATGTAAAAAAAGATGTTGAGACTAGAAAGAGGGCAGAGAAGAGCAACAAAGATGATTAGGGGAGTACATGATAAAGCTTATAAAGAACGGTTGCTGCAACTGCATATGTCTAATTATGAAAAGAAGGGCTAGGAGTGACATGATAGCAGTGTTCTAATATCTCAGGGGCTGCCATAAAGAAGTGGGAGTCAAGCTATTCTCCAAAGCACCTGAGGGCAGGACAAGAAGCAATGAGTGGAAACTAATCAAGGAGAGAAGCAACCTAGAACTAAGGAGAAGTTTCCTGACAGTGAGAACAATGAACCAGTGGAACAACTTGCCTCCAGAGGTTGTGAATGCTCCAACACTGGAAGTTTTTAAGAAGAGATTGGACAACCATTTGTTTAAGTAGTATAGGGTTTCCTGCCTAAGCAGAGGGTTGGACTTGAACACCTCCAAGGTCCCTTTCAACTCTGTTATTCTATATGAGTTGTGTAGAATTAAAAAAAAGACGCAGAGTTTAAAAAGGGCAGAGAGCATGCAAGCAGTTTTGAGGAAATGATTTTTAAAAACATGTTTTGGAATTAGATGAAAAGCAGCAAGCCATGAGCCTCTAGCAGAGTGAATGGAAACAAAAATAATGAAATTATTTAAAATGAAATTGAAGCAGGGGAATGGCAGAAGAGGATTTTAGAGATTTGTAAAGGAATGAGAGTGATTTATCAGAGCTGAATAGAAAAGGCTATAAATGTTAGGATCCAACAGGGGGAATAACTGGCAACAAAGAAGTCATATATGCTTTGAGAATATTGAAAAATAGTAAGACCATTTATGTAATGGTATTTATGATACCATAGTACCATATAGTTAGGTATTTATGGAGAAAGGTTAATGTGTTTTTAAAAAAAATTGTACTCATGACTGAGAGTCGAATGACAATTGCTCTCTTATCCAAGGGGGGAGGTAACCAGAGTGAAATGCATATATTAGAGTGGTATTGGTTTATTAAACTTGCCTGAGAACACATTTGACAGAATTTGGGAACATCAGAAGATCCCTTTGCTGGCATTTGTAAGTAATTTGTTGGGGATTTCGAGGAGAAAAACCACTCGTTTTTATTCTGAACTAGATATTACATTGGCCAAGTCTTATATGAGGTGACCGAGCTCTTGTGAGGTTCTTTTGAGCCCTTAATGCTTAATTTTCTTGACTATCATCTATGGGATAAACACAGCCACTTACAACTTATGTCCTTTCCCTTATTAATGATTTGTGCAGCCAGAAAGAACATGATTTATGTGAGTTTCAAGAGGTGGTAGAGGGATTTTTGGTGGAGTTATTCTTGTCATATGTTTTCAGGCAGGCAGGGCAGTGTGCGCTTTTTAAATATCCATTCCTTGATCTAGCCCTCTTAGAAGTTTTATAATTTTTTGGTAAATTAATTCAGATGATTGTCAGACTTCAACTATAGGTTTTAGGTTTGACAATGAAATGGAAACTGCATTGGTCACCCCGCAGAGATTTGGAAGATGTTAAAAACCTGCACTTCTATGTGGAGTGTTCCAAAGCTTGATCCCTCCCCTATTTTATTTAAAATCTACATGAAACTGCCAAATCTTATTTCATTCTTTGACAGATTCATAGACCAGCAAAATGCTGTGGACAAAGTATACTTGGATTTCAATCAGGCAGTTGACAAAGTTCACTACAACCTATTTAGCAAGTTAGAAAAGTGTGGGATAGACACCACCAGATGAATTTGTAGCTGACTGACAAATTGCACTCAACCTGTAGTCCTTAATGGAACTATATCTAAATGGAGGGAAGTAACAGTGGGGTGACCCAAGGTTCTGTCTAAGGCCCAGTTCTCTTCAATATTGACATAAATGATTTAGATGGAGGAACAGAAGGAAACTCCTCAAATTTGCAGTTGACACCAAGCTGACAGGAATAGCCAACACCGCAGAAAATAGGCTTCAGATCCAGAAGGATCTCGACACACTTGAAACCTGGCTCCTATTAAACAAAATGAAATTCACTTGTAAGAAAAATAAAGGTTTACACTTAAGAAAGAAAAACCAAATGTATAATTATAGAATACATTCAATCTGGCTCAACAGCAGTATCTGTGAGGGGGATCTTAGAGTCCTAATTTCCTGATAGTGAGAACAATTAACCAGTAGGGTTGTCTTCAGAAGTTGTGGATTCTCCATCACTGCAGGTATTTAAAAAGAGATTAGGGTCTCCTGCTTGTGCAGAGGATTTGACTAGAAGAAGGTCAACGTCCCTTCCAATTCTGTTATTCTATTATTCTGGTAGGAGAGACGATCATTCAGTTTGGGGTCAGGTATTTTCATTATGGCGATAGTGTTCAGCTTTAGATTAGTTAGAAGTATTGACTTTTAATTGAAGTCATATAGGTAATACAGAATGAATCTTGATCAACACTTAAATCCTATGAAAGACTGGATGAGGTGAAATTGACTGTACTCAATTCGAGCAAAGTGAACTTTTGGAAACTTTCTGGTACCAGATCTGTTCCATCTGTTACTCTAGATGGGATGGAACTTCTGAGGGAACTGGTGTGCCATTTAAAATTTTGCTTGAACTCATGGCTCCTACTGGAACAACAAATAGGAATGCTTCAATTTATCCATCAGTTCTTCCTAGTTTAATCTCTTTTCCACATCCTAAGGTTTACAAAGAAATATCTCTCTTTGTTTTCTTCTCGTTTTCTTATTAAAAGCCCGTCATTGGTTTTGATTGACTTCTTTTTAATGTGTTTTCCCATCTCTTCCCATCACCTTGCTTGGAGTTTTAAAATAGACTTTAACCATACTCTGGTGTATTCCTTTATTTGAAAGGTGATGTGTTTCTAACACTAGAGTGAATTAATTTTCAAGTATAGTAATGCCTATTTGTGATAGATGGAAGAAGTAATACAGAAAAAGTTATGTTTCTCTTAGAATAACCTAGAGTCTAGACTGTCAGCATTCTGGAATGAACCTTTATTTTCACAATTTACTCATTAACATTTTATGGCATCACAGAACAGTAATGGGATTGACTGATCAGTTACTAGTTGATATAGTGTAATATTGCCATATATATTCATGTATAAACTCACCCCACATATAAACCAACCCGTGTATTTTTAACAACAACAAAACTTGAAAAATGTACTACCCATGAATAAGCCAACCCATGTTTAGATTTTCATAATTGGCTTATCTGAGGGAGGGACATTTTTCCTAATATTTTGGTTGGAAATTTGAAGGCAGATTTGTCAATGATTAAAGTTATCTATTGAGTATTTACAGGATATATGGGCATTTTAAAAAGCTAAGGGGAAAATCTATTGTATATATTCATGGAGAAGACAAGCCCATTTTTTGTCATTTATTTTGTCACCTAAATTCTTGGCTATCCACAAGTAAATATAGTACATGTAATAAATCTTAAACCTTAAAAAGATTTTAAAGATTTCTTTACCATTATACATTAAGGACAAAACAACCTGCATATTTTAATGAGTTGGCTTATATAAGAGATTCTTCCACAGTGTACATACATACAGATATGCCTCCACCCCGCTCCCAACAAAATGCACTGGATGACCATATTCTTAGGTTTTAAAATATGTGTCTTTTGTTATCTGGCAATGATTTGATCCAATCAAATCCGCATCAGTATATTAACTTATAAATAGAAGAATAAATAGGCTGGAAAGACTTCTGAACTCACAATGTTCTTTTGTTAACATGTTTTCTTACTAGAAAATAATATGTCATGAACTCTTTCCAACTGGGCTTAATGTTTGTGTAACACAGTAAATGTTTGTTACAGGAGGAGTGACAAACACGGCGCAGTATCAGAACAGGCTAATGGTGTATGATCCAACCCAAGTAAGTTTATATTCATTCTGTTAGTCAAGTTCTGCTTGTCTAATAACTTCTGTTTGTGTGAATACATGGGAAAGCCCAAAGGCAAAAAGACATACAGCTTTTCTGCCTCACACGCTGACCTCACGTTCCATGTATTTCAATGAGATGGTAAGGGAATGGTATTTAATTGTGCAGAATCTCTCTGCCACCAAGTCCTTGTTTGCTGAAAGAATCATGTTCTTGAGCTTTATCAGTGGTTTCAAATATAAGGTTTCTGTTGAGAGTAGCATCCTTTATAGGCCCTGCCCAGCTTCTTTAATGATTTTTTTACATGGAATTCCTGAGACTAGATCTTATCGCTTAGTCCCCTGGTTAAGAATGAGTTCTGTTCCTAACTTTATCTTTAACCCAGAATTGTATGTGAGTCTGAATTGGCACTCATTACCTATTGTTTAAAAAGGCGTTGTCTTTTTAAGTGCTGAAAACAGGCTATACGGAAAAATGTGTGGCTTCAGCAGTTGCTGAAGTCATTGAATGATTTCAGTGGTTTGTCAGGAAGAGGAAGAATGCCATTCACCATTTTTAGTCCTAGACTGCCTGCTCAAATTACCATGTTATCCAGAGGAAAATAAAGATCCTTCATATAGGGACTGTTGGTGTGAGTGTTGGGACAGAATTCCAGAACCTGGCACTCTGCTTTGTCATATTACAGTAAGCATTTCTTACTGCCGAACTGAGCCCTTTGGCCTCAATGAGACATGTACAACCAGAAGGCGTACTTAGTTTGTATGCAAAGACTTGCTCCTATGGCAAATGTTGCCCCTGCTCTGAATAAAGGCTATCCCTGTCTAAATGTTAAAATGTCAAATTCTCCCCTTTTTGTCTCCCCCGCACCCCCACCAGTCTGCCGCACTCTCCCATGGGCTGCCCACATTTTGGCTGCTCCCAAACTCCGTCCCCACAGGCCGCGCTAACAGTGAAAAGGCAGCAAGTTGGTGCTAGCATTCTTATACAGTCAGGGTTGCTTCACGATTTTACACACATACGTTTAAAAATAAAAAAAATCCTGCTGGCAGACTGTTACGGTGGGCACTTGAAGCCCCTCGCATCTGCAGGCGTCTTGCACAGAATCTCAATAACTCTATCTCGTTGGGTGCTTGTGCCTGTTTCTGCGCAAGGCCTTTGTGGTGTGCTGATAATGTCTACCATCTGCCACCGAGCACATCGCTACCTGCCAACAGGCAGGCTGGGGTGACCTCTGCTTCTCCACTGCTGATTAGTATTCACACGCTGACTTATTAGGAATGACCCGCACCAGCCCCCCCACCTACCCACCCCTGTTTCTTTGCCTTTGCAGTGCTTGCCGGCTTACCTGGCAGTCACTGCTGTGAAGGAAGCTAAAATATAATCAGGGGATGCAGGCAGGTTTTGCCAAGCAGATGGCGTCTATAGTCCTGTGTCAAGGGAATGCACTGTAAATGCAAATATTAATTTCTCCCAATCAGGTGCTGCACAGTTTAATGGGGAGCTATATGTTTGGAAGGGCTACATCGAACAATTGTTTTCTGACTTCTGCTCTTTGACATTCACCACTTAACAATTTTTCAAACAGCTCAAAATAGTTTCCATGCTGGCCTTAAATATTTGCTTCTCATCAAAATGACAAAATATCTTAGAAATAATAGAAAATTGGTCTTTTTCTGTCCTGGATGGAATTTCATTAAACTTGCATTTTTCAGTGATTATGCTACAAACAAAAAGGCATTTTTTTGTGTTTCCTTTCTTTAAAAGAAATGATGGAGTTTTATGCAAGATGCATTTGGATAGCAGGTGCTATGAGTACTGGTGAATGGGAAATCAACACACCTAAAATGTTCATTGTGTGTAGGAATTAAAGTTTTCTTTTGTCTGCTTTTGCAGAATAAATGGCTCAGCCGCAGCCCCATGTTGCAGAGAAGAGTCTACCATTCCATGGCTGCTGTTCAAAGGAAACTCTATGTTTTAGGGGGCAATGATCTAGATTACAACAATGACAGAATTCTTGTCCGCCACATAGACTCCTACAGCATAGATGCTGACCAGTGGACCCGGTGTCATTTCAGCATGTTGACAGGCAAGTATTCTTAGCCGAATCTGTGTCAAAGCTGTAGGAGAAATCCTATTTTTAACTGGAGACGTGTATTGCAAAAAACAACCAACCGGCCAACCCTCACCATCTCTGGCTGACATTGAAATGCTAAGCAAAGCTAGACCTGGTTAATAATTAGAGACAGACCAGGAACTATCAGGGTTGCTGGCTAGATTGTGAAGCTGAAACGACATTAGGACATCTATGGACGTGGCAATGACAAGGCATTTCAAGATCATATTTGAGGAAACCTACAGACCATGTGTCAACTTCAAACTGAACCTGGCAGCAGCCATTTTTCTGGTCTTCAGTTGCCACACAGAGGGGGGAAGGAGGTTACTAGACACAACAGAGAACTTTCTCGTGAGAACCAAGGTCATCTCTACTGGCAACAGATAAGGTTGGGGAAGGAGTGCCCGGAGAGCCGGCCAATTAACCCAATTGGCCAATTGATCGGTGACACTTGGGGATAGGGTTATTTCATACTTTAATTATATTGAAACCACAGGAACAAACATCTATTGCATATACAAATATACAGTTCTCTTGTGCATATTTAGTTAAAATTAACCGAGGCTGTCACAGCAATAGATGCGTGGCATTGTGCTGTAAAGGCATTCTGACGTTTAATAATTAGTTAACAGAAATCATGGTTTTTCTCTTATCAGGCCAGAATGAATCTGGAGTGGCTGTACACAATGGCAGAATATATTTAGTTGGCGGCTACTCAATTTGGACAAATGAACCCTCAGCATGTATCCAGGTAACTTAGCTTTCAAATTGTTCCAATGCAGGATGCTTTAGTGAGGAATAGAAAAAAGAAAACATTTAAAGAAAACTATTGGACCTTTTCGCTAATTTTTATGAAAATGTTTAACTGGGACTCATAAAGGTATAGCCATGTGCAGTTTTATATTGTGTATTTTAGATCACCATCAGGGAGCTTTTTGGTAAATTTCTGATTTAAAAAATGGCATACTACAGCTTATATTTGTACATTTGAATTTTTAGAATGTCACTTAACTTTAGGTGTTTTTTATATCCAGTATTGTTTAGATAGTGTATAATATTCATTTTAAGTATGTAGTCCAGTGCATAAAAAGAGCCAGTCTGGTGCAGTGTTCAAGGCACTGGGTTAGAAATTTGTGAGTTCTTACCCCGCTTAGAACCAAAGTCATTCTCTCTCAGCCCTAGGAAGGAGGCAATGGGCAAACCACTTCTGAAAACCAGGCCAAGAAAACTGCAGACTTGCCCTGGCAGTAGCCAGGAGTCAACACTGACTCAAAGGCACCACAAGCAAAGCAAACCTGAATGCGGCCTCACCTTTAATATTTCTTAGATGAGGTTTTGTAGTTTGCTTTGAATAAAATAGCAGAGTTAATTTTAACCATGGGTGGTGCAGTGGTTAGAATATAGTATTGCAGGCTCTCTGCCCACTGTCAGGAGTTCGATCCTGACTGGCTCAAGGTTAACTCAGCCTTCCATCCTTCCAAGGTCAGTAAAATGAGGACCCAGATTGTTGGGAGGCAACATGTTGACTCTGTAAGCCACCCAGAGAGAACAGTAAAGGTCTGTAGAAAAGTCTAATGTTATTGCTGTTTTTCCTTACACAGGTGCTGGATGTTAGTAAGGAAGGAAAAGAAGAAGTTTTCTATGGGCCTTCCCTGCCTTTTGCTTCAAATGGAATTGCAGCCTGTTTTCTTCCTGCTCCTTATGCCACATGCCCAAACCTGCAGCCTTTGCAAGTGCCTCATCATAAGATGGGCAATGTGTGAGAAAAGGAACCTGGCCACAAGAGAACAAGCTACTTCATTCATCCTGATTGTGTCTTTACATCAACAAAATTGAATGGTTGTGGAATCTAACCTTGTATTAAGTGCAGTAGAAGCCAAAAAGCAACAAAAGGTGGCAGAATTACACCTGTCTCTGGACTTCATGACCATGTTTGCCTATTAAGAATCTTTATCCAAGTATTCTGAAAAAACATTTTTTGCACTTTAATCCCTTGCTCCTGTTTCTGTCATTTTCACTGCCTTGCAAAAAAGTATACAAAGAAAATTGAAAGAATTCTACCTTTCAAAATCTGGGTTAACAAGCTACAAGCGCTTGGACTGTTGAATTCTTGAAGTTTTTTTCTTTCCTTGGCGTTTCGTCCTTGGAATTAGAAATGTTGAAAATTTGTGTCAACAACTCTTACTTGCAAAGGTGCTTGTAACTTACTGGCTATTTCTCATACTTGTCTCACAGATCAGACAGGGGATAAAAACGAGTCACATAGATATAATTTTACTTGTAGAAAAGGCAGGCATGTGGCACTATAAAAGAAGTCTCATAAAGCCAGAGTTGCAACAGGACTTGCTACTTGGACCATATATGTCACCTTGCATTGTTGTTTCCTAGGTGATGTCTGTTAACCATAATTTTTTATCATGTTGGAGAAAATAAAAGTTTAATTTTAACATTTTTAGTTGTAACAGCTAATATCTAAACAACATCCAGAATTTTTCAAATTAAAAAACTTGTTTAGGAAATAACACTTACCAAACTTAACAGAGTAAATTTTAAAGGACTAAAACTGTAAGTGATGTACAAAGATGTTGAATTTAATTTGATGTAAATTTGAGAGGATCTGTTTCAAGTTTGAAATGAACTAGATCAACCAATCCCAGAAGCAATTTGAGGATAGAGGTTTATAGGGTGATTTAAAAAATCATTTCAAATTTGGAGGAAAAATTTGAACTCAAGACGAAATTTCGATTTTATTTGAAGCGTTTTGCATACCACTGTAAAGCTGATTGCTGCACGTTTCAAGCTTTTTCCAAAAAGATTCAAAATACATCTTGTTGGATTATGTTTTTATCTTTCCCAGCTTTTGAAGCTATTTTGTGTAGTTACTAGTTTTATGATCCAGGTCTTAGGTTTTCATAACTGCAAATACAAAAGACAATATTTTTGTTACTCTGTTACATATTATTTTGGGCTTCTGTTGTTTGATTGTATCGTTGCAGCCAAAAAAACCAAGCTAAGACCAAAGAAGTGTAGCAAGAAATGCAGTAAGTGTAAGATTGGCTGGGTATTCACTTCACAAACAATGAAAAACACATTCTCAGTGCTTTCTCACTATGAAGAAACCCAAGTTAATTTATAACAGCAGTTGGCGACCTTCTAAATTGCTAATCATATGCCATTTTAGTAAACTGTACCTGAAAGTGTAGAATTATCATCCAAAATGTCACAAGTTTTGTATTTTTCAAAACCAATAATTTGACATAATGCAAGGGGTGTGTGAAATCTCTTGAAAACCTAATGTCATAATTATTTAAACCTAAATCAAAATGAGTGAATTTATGGAGATTGGGGGTGGAAAATGCCATATTACTTCCTCACATTTCTCTGTGGTCAGGAACATGGTGTGTGGCCAGACATTTGGTGCATAGAACATTCCCCAACATTTTTTGGCAGATAATTTTTCTAACACCATCTTGAAGCACAGCAGCCAGCTTTACATCCAAATATCTTATTAGATCTTCAAATAACTGCAACAAATATTCTCTTCAAGGAGCAATGATGATTATAAAAAAGAGAGTAAAAACATGGCTGTAATTTCCTATTTTTCTTCTTTTTAAAAATAATCCTCTCAAGTGTTAGTATGAGCTTGAGCTCAATCTGAAAAATCATATATGTCTCACAATATTTCCAGTTGTTTAGGCATTATAATTTCATATTACTGCATTATGAATTTTTAATTCATTCAAGAGTCACTTAGGTGAGAGGGAAAGTATAGAAATGTGATAAAATAATTAAAATGGATGCCTGAATCTTGGGGGGGGGGGGGGGGGGAAACTGCCATTTTACACTTCTCACAATCTGTTTCAATATATGCAGGATATCTACAGTAATATTTTTTATCATTAATAACTTCATGACCAATTTCTTACATATTTTGACATTTATTTGAGATACCACATTGATAATTGTGTGCCCACTGCAAATTCATAACCTGCATGCTTGATTATGCTGAGGTATAAAACAAATCAATATATGAAGAATTTCAAACAAATGTGCCTCCATTCAACATCACTGGTATATGTGCATAGTCTACAATAAAAATAACATTTTTTCACTATTTGCTGTATTCCTTTTACTGCATTTTTGTTCATATTCATAAAATATATTTTCATACATTACTTATTTGAATTTCGAACAGAAGAGTGCTGTTTCTCTATGCAGTAAAACAACTTAGGAGATCACAAGTATTTGCACATATATGCAGTTTACAAGCATATAAAAGTTTATTATTGTTCTAGAATTCAAACCTGAAGTCCAAAGAGACAGTCTCACATTAATAACATCCAAAACATTGCCAAGGGCTCCACCACCACCATAAACTCAGATGAAGACCAGGTCTTCAGACACTTATGGAATGTTTGAAGGATGGGAACCCTACGTACCTCAGTTGTGTGTTGTTCCAAAAAAAGTGCATGCTTTTACACAAAAGGCACACTTCCTGTCAGATGGAGGTAATGTGAAATGCCTATTACAGTTCACCCTGCTGCACCTAAACAGATTGTCTTTAAGGGGTACCCCCATGTAGCATGTTGCAATTGTCCAAGCCTTCTGATCATAGCTAATTGAGGAAGATCTTTCTGGCCATAGCAGCCACTTAACCTTTGAGGTGTAGATGGGAGTCCTAGAGGTTGCTTAAAATGCAACCTCACCCAAGAGTGAAAAAAGTGAAAATGCCTCAGATGTTGGGATAATGGTTCTTTCCAGATAGTTTAGATTACAGTTCTACAAACTACCTGAACATTGGTCTTACAAAGATGTTCAACTGGTAGCCCGCGGACCGGATGCATCACAAGCTGTCTATGCCTGCACCCGGTTTAGCAAAGGGGAAAGAAGTCACAATATGTCATGTGATGATGTGAGTTTAACACCCTTGATTTATGGGATCTGGAGCCTGAAACATCTGGATTACCGCAAGTTCCCAACTTCGGTTTGATAGTACTTAAGAAACTTGGCATCAAGAATCTAGCATTTTAATTGGTAGATTAATGAATACAGTATAGTTTTGAGTGGCCTCCATGCAGCTTGCAGGTATTTTAATCGAACAATATTTCACATATACAGCCATATTTAATTTCTCTGTACAGGACAACTGTAGTCCCCTTCTAAAACAATTCTTAGTATTTTGTAATTTCAACAGTATCGACCTGGTCAACTATACTACTGCACAGCGATGATTAAAACTTCAAAATCATATCAAGGAACAGCCAATTGAAAATGGGGGTTATAAAGTAACATTTTTGATGGTATTACTATTAGTAGTAATATTCAGCTCTAAACAAAGTCTACATATGACAAATTTTTTCTATCAAAGCTTGATTTGAAAATCCTTAAGAATTATTTCTACAGTATTTCTACATTTATTTCTGGCTCTTTAACCAAGCATCTGTCTTCTGCTAAGATTTACAAGGCTGTTATGGGAATTCCTGGATTCTCAATATGCTTGCATTTCTTATGGAACAGGAAAGAAAACGGATTACAGTGCTATTACCCACAAAATAAAGTGTGGTGCCATTTAACTAAGTGGCTGACCTGGAATAATCTACATTAATGATAGCTTTTATCCAAGCTAATTTCAACAAACCAAGTACATACATCAATTAGCTACGAAAAAAGAATGGTCTAGAAGAAAGCTAATGCAGTTTAACAAAATACAGCAAAAATGTAATACATTTTTACTGAGGTCTGTAATCTCACATTCTGTGGAATTGTACCTACAATTCATGCAAGGCACACAAGGAAAGTAAAACTCCATTATCAAACATTGTCAAATGCCCTTGGTACAGAGATCTGATGAGCACATGGAACGCCTGAAGCTGTTTGCTTCCTAACAATTTTCATGCCTGTCAGAGTTAATTTTGGCATATCTATCTTTCTTTAGACACCCAAGTTTATTTAGCTAAGAAATTATTAACAAAAATATGAGCACAGCATAGACATCTGTTTTCTTGCTGAACTATTCCATTTAGGTAAGGATGTTGTACATAGAATAACCTGCTAGGGAAGAGATTTCATAAATACCATTTTTTTTTAAAAAATGCTTCATTCCATGATGAAGGTATATCTTTCACCCCCTGGATCTCAGAAGCTTTTGTAATAAGGCAAAATACCTCATCACTTATGTAAAATAAAACTCTCAAGTAATTTAAGACACATCTTCATCTTTCCAACAATAAAAAAAATGCAGAATTTGACAAAGTAGACTTGCCTATAATTGTAAATGATGGCAATTAGTATGAATTTTCAACAATTTATGCAATATTGTAGAAAGTTGTTTGATGGTTTAAGAAACTGAGCAATTTATGTGCGTACTGAATGCTTTTTTTCTCCATTGCTAAAATGAAAGTGGATCGGATTGGTGGCCAGATTCTTTCAATTTGCAGGGGGATTAGAAGTACATTGAAATACACAGCATTAACAAAAAGCCTACAAAATGTAAGGAGGGAAAAAGACAGGTCCTATCATTTAAATGCATGCTGTAATACATAAAATACAAATGAAGTGCTGTAATGGTAACACATAAAATCCAAAAGAGAAATGAAAACTTTTAATGGACTGAATCTTCAGACCCTTGGCAGCAAAAATTCTAAAATTGGTTTCCTATACCTGCACCTGCATTCTGACTACTGAAAGTGCAAATAGGGAGGTTCCTATCAAATAGGTAGAATTTACCTTTGCAGAAAAACCTGAGGCCTACCACATAACTCTCAGCTTCCTACAAAGTTTAGAAAGTACACATTTCACTACTAATAAGCATATTTTAAAGGCATATTTATTTATTTAATCCTGCCTTTATTATTTATAAAAAGCTCAAGGTGGTGAAGGTATCTAATACTTTTTTGTCCCCCTATTTTTCCCCACAACTATCCAGTGAGGTAGAATGACTGGCCCCAAATCACCAGGTTGGCTTTCATGCCTAAGGCAAGACTAGAATTCAGTCTCTAGAATACTAGCTAGAATACATTGATCTTAAACTCTAAAAGCCAGCCTTAATCACCTACACTTTTATATTCTATCTAAATATAAAAAGAAAGAGGAAGGATAATCAAGGATAATAGGCCTAAGGTCAGGCTTGTAACTTACCTGTATAACTTAATATGGGGAAAGATTCATGGTTACAAAGAAGCAAGGTAAAGAAGATGTAACATTCATATCCTTCTTTTCTGGAATCTTTGAAAGGACTCCTTTCTAACTGCACATTAAGTCCTCTACTTCTTGACTATGATTTATAACCATGGCCTATATAAACTTACACAAACAATAACTGAACATTATGGTAAAAAGATTTACTATGGTTTACAATCTAATAAGCCTTTGAATGGTCACACTGAAGTCAGTAATTAAACCTTCACCCAATAAACAGAATATAAATCAGAATTAGACAATTCTATCTAAAACTAAATTCTTCTCCTTGGAAATAAGTGAATTAATATTGTGGCTCTAAACTTTATAAAGGAATTTGTCATAGAAGCAGTTATTTAAAACAGAATCATAAAATAAACATAAAACACTTGGGACTTTTTATGTACCCAATTAAATTTTAACATTTTATATATTTCTGTATATTATTGCCATATATATTTGCCATGTCATGTGCACTCTGCAATTGTTCAAATTTTCTCCACTACTTCTCAAGACAACCAGCCAATGCAGATTTATAAAGCTTCTCTGCAATAGTTAGTTATATCTGTTCCCTGAATCCACAGGCAAATAATCACTGCCAGTGATCATATAATACAATGTTAAAAATATGTGTTAATAAATCTTTCAACTGGCTCCTCATTTAAGAGTAATTTTTCATGAATTGAGGCTCATAAAACTCTTTAAATATCTCTGCTAAGTATTAATTATATTTCCAATAAAAGACTGTTTGGTTAAACAAGCTGTTATAATGTAATTCCTATTTTCCTACAAATCAGAGGCTTCGCACTCAAAAACTTAATGTAAAAGGCGTATTTCTGTTTCGCGTTTCTACTGAATGGTAAAGACTCAGATTTTGAAAGCATCTCACCTGAAGAGGTTTTTTTTTTTTTCAAGAAAGCCTTTTAGAAATGAAGGCCTTTTGAACTGAATTGAACTCTTCCAAATTGTAGTTGCTTACAAGAGACTATAATGTAAATTCAGTAAGTCTCTTTCATAAATGAAAAGAAGGTTTTGGGTCCACACTATTAAGTAGCCTAAAAGCTTTTAGTTCCTGTAGTTCCTGATGTAATAATAGTTGAATAAGTGAAGAGATAATCTGCTATCTTTACATAATAAAACGGTAGCAATAGAAAAATGCTCTCAACAACACTAGGAGGAAGTTTTTGTGACAATTATTGATGGACACACACACACACAAAAAGAGTCTCCGGTTTATTAACTGAAAAATTTCATTTCACCAGTTTTGCCACTGAGTCAATATAGCACCCTACTTATAAATGAAGGATCTACTTGCCAGATATGGCAATTACATAATTTATTGAGTGAGAATCCATACAGCAATACAGTGACCTGGTGAGCAGGTTTCATTACTGAATCAGTTCTTGGTATTCAAGAATAGGAATACAGCTCAAACAAGTATAAGGAGAACACAGAAAGGGTCAGAGGTCAAATTCTGCAATACACGTTTACAGATTTTAAAACAGGGACGATGCTAGGACAGCTCTTACCATTCCATGCAATGCATACACAAGATCTTCTGTTAACATAAGGTACTCAAGTTTCTTCACCTCATCCTGGCCTTGCTCATGGGAAGTGTTAGCGTGCAAAACCTTCAAGGTGTCAAACTGAAAGACCTGACAGCAAAAGAGTGCTGATTTACTAGAGCAGGAAAAAGATAGTTTTGTTGGAGATTGTGTTTCCTGTTTCTTTTTAGTATTTAGAATATAAGACATTTTTATTCTTGGCATCACTTTCTAATAGTTCTGATAGATTGTAATGGTGTGCAATGTTCATGTGAACAACAAAAAAAACCCATTCAGGATACTTACATATGTTTCTTTGAAGTATTAAAATACTAAATCACGTCTGCTTACATAAAAATGTACAGAAAC